TGTTGGTAGGTTTCAGCTCTTGGGTGAAAAGACCAGGCATGAACCCAGCTTGGTGGGTCCCAGGTTTTCTCAGTCCATCAGGAAGAGGGAAGTCCTCCAACAAATGCACAGCAATGGATACTCAGAGCTGCCATAGGTGTTTTTTTCTCCCTCTGAAGCCCCAAGACCATCAGCATTCCCAGGGATGGCTGGAAGGATGATGGATGATATGGTGATGCGGCTGAGGCTGGTCCATGCAGGAGATACAGAGGGGAATCGTCTGGGCACATCTGCTGCAACGCCCCATCTGGAATTTTTCCCGGGACAGGTCTTGCTTTGAGAGTGTGATTCCCTGGCTGGAAGGGAAGGACTGAATTTGGTCACGGCAGGCGAGGCATGGATGGCCATCTCTCTGCCTTGCACCAGGAGAGGGGGCCCTTCAGCCGGTTGGAATCAGTAGGAAAGGGGGAAATAAAAGAAAGGCAAAAAAAAATGCAACAGAGGAGGAGCCGAAGGTGAAATCCCGAGCGAGTGAAGGACGGACAATTGCCTGTCCTGTCTCTGCCTCTTCTCTGCATTCCTCGGCTGGTGCAGTCCCTGTGGGGCAGTGGGTTTGGTGCCTTTGAGGGATTCTGGCAGCCCAGGCAGGATGAGAAGTGGTGGGCAGGGATAGGGAAGGGTCGCTGCCTTGGATAAACGAGACAGCAAAGAATCCGCAAGTGAGGGCTGGAAATATCAAAGTCAGCATGAAAGCTCCCAGCTCATTCCACCCTGGGGAATTCATCTTCCAGCTGAAAAAAAAACCCAAAGGGGACCAGGTTTGGCTGCTTCTGCGACTCCCAGAGCTCCTGGGGATGGTGAGGGATGTGGGATACTCTGCAGGGTGGCCAGCCTCCTAGAGATCCCCCTCCCCACGTGTTCCTCCCCACAAAAAAAGTCCCATCGGGGGTAAATCCCGTTGCTGCGCTCTGCCCGGCAGCCACAGGCTCTAGCGGAGCTGGTGTGACAGGTGCCACGGGAGGGCGTTCATGTCCCAAACCCCAGCGGGAGGGGACAGCAATGCTGCAGTGAATTTGGATCCTGCTCCCTCCATTCCGACGTTTGAGTTCTCAGGGGGCTCCTCCCACCCCCCCCCCCCCCCCGCCAACCCCAAAACGCCCCTGTGTGTGGAGAACAGCCTCATTTCAAGGACTTTCCTGGGAAGCCCTCGTTCCCAGGATGTTTTTAATCCAATTCGAGCAGGTTGGGGGTGCTGGCTCTCCCAGCACTGGGGATGTACAGGTGACTGCCAGCCCTGAGTGCATCCCAGCTCTCCAGCCCACATCCTGCAGCTAGGCCAGAGGTTTAGGAGCATCCAAAATCCCAGAGGCTTGTGGCTCATGCTGCCAGTGCTTGTGGGACCTGGTGGCTCCCAGTTCTATAGGGCCTGCTCCCATCTCCCTTTTTCCTTCCCCCCATGGAAAATCATGAGTGGAAAATCAGAGGGGGTGTACAGCCAGGTTTGAGGAAACTCCTGGGAGCCTTGAGTTTTTCCTGAGCAGCACTTTGCATGCAAGGGAGCAGTTATCTCTGCATCTCTGCTGTTCCCTTCTCAACCTGGGAACAAATTCCATCCTTACCTGCCTTCATGTCTTCTCATTCAAAGGTACCTTGAACCTCTAATGGCAAAGGGCAGTCGATTAGCCCCGAAGCTGCCTCCTCTCCACAGGGAAGAGGGAGGGGAGGGGTGAGAGGAGGAAGAAGGGTTCACACAGATTTGGGAGCCCCTACAGCAATGGAGCAGAGACATGTACCACGTTTAATGTGTCCGTTAACACTGCTCCATTCACAGGTCCAACCCGGATGGAGCAGAGAACTAGTGTTTTCCCAAAAACACCACGGGGGAGGTCCCACCACCTCCAGTACCCCAGAAGCTGCTCATGAAGGCTGAGCAGAGATTTTTTTCCACAAAAAGGCATAACCAGAAACCAGTTCAAGATATAGGAGATGCCAGCTCTATCCCAGTGGAGATGCAATGAGAAAGATGGTGTTGGGGGGTTTTCCTCTGTCACCAGTGGTGGAGACAGCAGCAAAAGTGAGACACACAAGCGTTAATCCCCATGGGGAGATGGTGCTTGATAACAGATCTCAAACAGCCAAAGGAAAGAAATTGGAAATGTAGCATTTATTTTTAATCAGGAGGGTTATTAACTGTTGGAGCAACTCCTCTCTTCCTTCCACCCATGAGGAAGAGTCACAAGTGGTACACCTGGCCCATTTTGGGGCTGGGACAGGCTTTCCCAGCAGGCAGATGCCACCAGCCTGAATGCTGGTATCATCAGGGGTCTCAGCTTGAGGGAGAAGCTATGTGTCTGCCTAGATCTTTTCCTTTGGGAATGAGGGTGCTGGGAGCATTGCTCCACTTTGAAAGAGGAGCTGGAGCCCTGTTGCTGTGACTGATCTCATGACTCATTTTAAAACCTACCATAAAAGCAATTGACCATGGAGTGATCAAAGCTTCCCTGGCTTATCACTGCCCCCAGTTCCAGTAAAGGAACTGTGGCACTTGCAGGCTACCCAGGGAGTAATTGGAGGGCTTAATTGAGGAAGATCATTAGGGGCAAGCAAAGATAGGGGAGATGGATTCCCTTACTTACTGTGAGCAACTGAGGCTTTCATGGCAGTGATGACGAAAAGGGGAGGTTTAGGTTGGATGTTAGGAAGTTTCTTCTCCCAGAGGATGGTCAGGCACTGGAATAGGCTCCCCAGGGCATTGGTCATGGCCTCAAGCCTGCCAGAGCTCAAGGATCATTTGGGTAATGCTCTCAGGCACATGGTGGGATTCTTGAGGTTGCCTCGTGCAGGGCCAGAAGCTGGACTCAGTGATCCTTGCGGGTCCCTCCCAACTCAAGAAGTTCTATTCTATTCTATTATGAACATCAGCAGGAAAACTGGGACCTCAGCTAGGGTCACTAGGCTGTTGGATGGGATGTCCAAGGGATATCAGACCAAGGTCCCAGGGGTTCCTCTTGCCTGCGCAAGACACTTGGAGAGGTCTTCCACAGCAACATGGGGTGTCTCCATTGGCATCAAGAGAGGCAGAGGTGCTAAATGTAGATGGGGTGTTAAAAAGTGTGAGGCTTCGCCTCTGACACCATGAAGAGAAGGGCTGTGTGAGGAAGGATAATTGCCTGCCCATTTCTCTCCCCTCAGGCCTCTTCTCTTCCCCCTTCCCCCATCCTGACACAGGGGTGACTTAATCAGCCCTCGATAAATGTGAGAGACCTTCTACCAGCAAGAGGCTGTTCCACCCCACTAATGTTAATATTAAGCTGCTTATCTGCCCCAGGGCTATAAAACTGCCCTCTCCAAAGGGGGAGAAAAAAATTCCCACTGTTATTTATATCTGCTCTTGCTTATTGCGGCCTTATCAGCAAACCCAGCCAGCCTTCAGGGCAAGAGAGTCACGCAATGGCTCCAGCAAATGAGGCCTGTGGTCCCAGACCAGGACCAGCACTGCAAGTTCCCACTGTAGTAGAGTCCTTAGGCCAAGTCCCTGAGAGCCCCTCCACCTCATAGGGATGGCATGACACACTGCTGATGAGTCCCTGTCAGTCCCACTGCTCTTTTGAGTCCCCAAATTAGGCACTGAGATTTGCCTCCAGGATGGTCCCACCTTCTGCTGCAGTAGGTGAATACTGGCTTTGGGATGTCCCTTGTGTGGAAAGTGGGTTTGTGACTCCATTGCCTTGACCTACGGCCCTTGTCATAAGTAGGAGAGATGTCATTTGGCTGGTGGACCTCATGAGTTGCCCTAAAGCATCCTTCTGCTTTTCTTCGGAGGCCTCTGATAGCCTGCAGCACAAACCGTGCTTTGGACCTCCCAGTCCTCACCCTTTCTTCTCCTACAATATTGGCATTATGACCTCAAGTGGTGAAGACAAAGTTGGTGTGACACAGAGTGAAGCTGCCCGTGCTGGTTCAGTGAATTCACGTGGCTCTCTGGCTGCATCACATCAGTGTTTCATCACAAACTGGTGACCAAGCAGGACCCCGGACACACAGAGTTACTCCTTTTCACTCAGGCTTGCTTAGCGGGTCTGAACAAGCTGAAGTCTTGGGCAATTGGCTTCCCTGTTTTCTTCCCCAACATGCTTTCATTTCTGCCTCTTCTTGGAAGTTTTTGTGCAATATGCGATGAGTGATCAGTATTTGGACACCAAAGGAGCTCTCGCTGGTCAGGGTCTGGGGCTATGAAAGCAGATGCCTCCCACGGAGAGGAGTTCAAGAGCAGAGGGTGTTGCACTGGATGGCTGTACTTGTTCCCATATCGTTGCTTGCCAGGTAGTGGTTTGGCTAAGATGGCTTTGCGTGCAAGTTGGAGAAACGGAGGCACCTGGCTCTACTGGCATGGATTGACTGGCAGCCAATGTAAACTTCTGGGTTTGAGTTGGAGGAATTCCTGTTCTCATTCTCTTCCTGCTGTGAAAACACCCTTACTCCAGCCTAGAACATCAGCAGTTTGACTTTCCTTTTTAGCGAGGGGTGAAGATGTCCTTCCTTGTGTCCTTCAGGGCCTGCAGTGACCATGGCAGGGGAGGTGGCTGAAGCCCCAAGTTGCACCACAGGAGATTTAGACTGGATATTGAAAAAAATTTCTTCACCAAAAAGGTGGTCAAACCATGGCACAGGCTACCCAGGGCACTGCTGGATCCACATCCCTGGAGGGGTTCAAAGGACATGTGGATGTGGCACTTGGGGACAGGGGTTAGTGGTGGCCTTGGCAGTGCTGGGTTAAAGGTTGGACTTGATATTTAAGTCTCTTCCAACCTAAACAATTCTATAATTCCATGCTTCTTAAGCACTAATGGAGGCCAGGGAATTATGGCATGGGTTGGCTGTCCCTCAACTCTCAACAAGTGACTCTAAAAGGATACAATCTAAGATTAAATGTGGTGGAATGGCCAACACTTAAAGGAATATCCAACACTAGAAACACTGGAAAAAGGCAAGAAATGTTACAAAGTGAACCAGATAAAACAGGAGTTTCAATGGTTTCAGTTTATTACATCATCCTGTAAAGCACCAGACCCAGCTTTGCTGCAAGGACACTCAGGTTTTGCCCCCTGGTGATGCCTGGTCCCACTGCTCAGTTTCTGCTCTTCATGGGGAAGCGCTGCTTGACCTGGAAGTGCTCACACCTTTTGTGCCTCATGACCAGTCCATAGATTGGGGTCATGTCCACCTTCTTGCCATCGCAGACACTGAACTCTAGCTGCTGGAGCAAGGTGGTCAGGAACAAGAAGACCTGCCACCTGGCAATGGGCTCCCCAATGCACCTCCTTTTCCCCAGGCCAAAAACCAGCACCTTCTCCCCATCTTCTTTGTTCACTTTGGTTCCATCAGCACTGAGAAAACGCTCTGGGTTGAAGGTTTCTGGATCCTTCCAAAGTTTCCTGGAAGGGAAAACATCAGATGCTGAGATGGTTTCTCCTGGCCACAGGAGTAGGTGGGACACTGGAAGGTGGGAACTGTCAAGAAGAAAATCCCTGAATTCAGTAGGTCCCCCACTTGCTCCTTTTTCTCTTCAAGAAGGTTGATCCCACTCCTGCCCAGGAAGAAAACTGTGCAGGAAGGGTCCTGTTTGTCACTGAGGGGGCTTTCTGCCTCACAGGGTACTTACTCATCATGATTCACTTGCCACTGGTTGATAAACACGCAGCGGTCCTTTGGGATGTAGTAGCCATTCAACACTGTGTCCTTAGTCGTGCTGGGGAGAGAAAAGACGGAGAGTTTGGGAAGCCAAAAGATTCTTCTGCATCCCCAGAGGACTGTTAGTTTGCTCCTGATGGTGCTGAAGGAAGGATGTTTCCCAGAGGGATGGTTTTGTGAGGGGCAGTTGTGTTCCCCGTGAGCCATAACAAAATGCCTCAAGAGCACACCTGGTCCCTAGACCTTCTCTGCAAGCTCAGCCCATACCTGTGTGGGATGGTGAAGGGCAGGAAGGAAGAGTGCCTGAACACCTCCAGGATAAAGGCTTCTGTGTAGGGCAGCGTGCCCCGGTCCGACAGCCGCGGTCTCCTCTCCTGGCCAATGATCTGGTCTGTGGGAGACAGGGAGTGGGTTGGGGTCAGCCCAGTCCACACAGGTTTTATCCTTGGAGGACTGGGGTTCATGGACTTACCCAGTTCTTTCTGGATCCTCTTCTGGATGTCAGGGTACGTCACAAGATACAAGAGGCTCCAGGATAAGGCAGTTGTCACAGTGTCGAAGCCTGGGCAAAGAGGAAAGCATGTGGATGAGATCTGTACAACGCCCATCTTGACTTGCAGACTAACCATCACACAGAGCAGTCTGGGGTGGCTAAGAAGGCAGAGGTTGTCCTGGACACACAGCAAGACTTGGGGTTTCATTCTATCACAGAAAACCTTGCTAAAATATCCTGCTCTCTCATCCTGTTTCACTTCTGGGTTGTGTCAGGTTTGTATAACTTCTCTGGAATCAGGGGAGTTTCCATGGAGTAACTCAAAGGTGAATCAGTCCACAGACATTTCTCTCAGCCAGGAAAAGTCACCCTGGCTTGTGAACCTCAGCTGAGCTATAAGCCGTGCCCTTTGCTTGTGCCTGAAGCCTCTTTTTGGGGCTAATTTCCCAAACTGGGAAGGCATCCCTAGAAGGTCCAGGAAGACCAATGAGCAGGAGAGTAAGTGCTTAGACACAAACTGGGTGCCTGGGGTTGGACAAAGATGGGTCAGACAGAGATATAACAGGAAGGGTCTGAGGAGCTGAGGGGCTGGTGGGAGGAGACACCTGCTCCAAAGATGTCATTCACGAGGTTGACGACCTTCTCCTTAGGGATCTGCACGGCAGTAGTTGTTTCCACTTTTTTCTCCAGGCACTGCTCAATGAGGGAGTCGGTGATGTCTCGGATGTTGTTCTGAGAGGAAGAAAAGACAACCTCAATGCATCAGAACTGGCAGAGGTGCCCCTGAGCAACCCCACCTGATGCTGGGGAAGCCCAGGGTAATGTGAGCATCCTCCATTTCCCATGGCACCTAAGAAAACAAAGAGATGGTTCTCCAAGGAACCTGAGGCACAGACCAGATGTTCAACCAACAGACTGGCCCTATCACACAGGGAATGGATGAGAAGCTGGAAAGCTCATGAAGCTACGTCAGTGGAGGTTTAGGTCAGAAAGTAGGAAAAGGTTCTTCATCTAGAAGGTGGTTGGGCGCTGTAACTGGCTCCCCAGGATGGTGGTCATTGCCCTAAGGCTTCCAAAGCTCAAGGAGCATTTGGACAATGCTCTAGGGCATATGATGGGATTTCTGGGGGGTGTCCTGTCTCCACCTAAGAGCTGGACTTGACTTTTGTGGGTCCCTTCCAACTTCAGGAGATTCCATGATTCTATGATATTCTAGGATTCTATGAGAAGGAGGACTGGAGAGAGACAATGTCCATTGCTTCTTGGCTGCAAGAAGAAAAGCTACTCGCTAGAGAGGGGAGGAGAACAGGGACACACCGCTGGTGCAGAGAGTCCTGCAAGCTCTTACCTTGTCATAGGTCTGGTAATGTTCTTTGACTATCTTCTCGAGGAAGGAGACGAAGGACTTGTTGTAATCTATAAATAATTTCATCCTGCGGCTGGGAATGTACTGGAGCAGTGGGATGAAGTCAGAAGGGTTGCCATTACTACCCACGTCATCAAACTCCTCAGCTGTATTCACCACGCTGAGCAGCTCCTGGTCGTTGTGCTCGTAGCGCTTGCCAAAGCACATGGCACAGACGACGTTGGCCACCGACACCACCAGGTACTGGTAAGGCTCAAAGCTCTTCTCCTGCTCCATCACCTGCAGGAACTTGGTGACCAGGTACTCAGCCTCCTTGGAGACGTGCTCCTCCAGCAGGCAGGTGGAGGAGGAGGTGGGGCTGGGGGCAATGGAGAAGGTCTTCAGGGCATTCTGAGCCAGCTTCCTGCGGGCTTTAAACACCTCCCCAGAGTCGGGGCTGAAGGTCAGGCTCTGTCCGTCTGCAATATAGCGGAAGCTGTGGAGGTCGGGGCGCCCCATGAAGTCCTCTCCTTGCTTCACCAGGGCTTGCTTGATGGTCTCCAGCCCACTCAGCACCAGCACAGGCCGCATGCCAATCTTGACCTCCATCACGTCCCCGTACTTCTGGCTCAGCTTGGTCAGGGCCAGGTGCGTGTCCTTCCGCAGCTCCAGCACACTCCCCAGGATGGGATAGCCCCTGGGTCCCGGGGGGCTCTTCAGCCCCTTGGGCACGTGCTGCTGCAGGGACTGCAGCAGCAGAAAGACCAGGCAGAAGACAACAGCCACGAGGAGCACCTCGGTGGCCGAGATGAGCCCTTGGCTCTCCACCGGCAGCATCGCAGCCTTCACCATTGCTGCTCGAGGGTAGAAACCCTAAAGAAGTGAACCAGAATGTGGGCAAGGGCTGGCATCAGCAAAGGGCTGAGTCTTGTGGATGTTCCTGACGCTGAGACAGGGCACCCAGAGCCCTGAAACAGCTCAGGCTGACGGACCTGCCCATGCAGCACTGGGGGTTTCAAGGGGCAGAAGCTGGAGATGTGGAAAGACTCCAAACACAGTCACCTATGGCTAAAAGGGGGACCTCAGCCCCCCAGAGCCTTCAGTGACACCCCTTCCCCAACAGAATACCTCAGCACCCACTGGCACAGCCATGGCTCCTGCCAGGGGGAAACTGTTTTTTAACAAGGCACAGAAAAAAAATGCAGCTCAACAAAGCATAGGGAAGCAGGAGGAGAGGAACAGCAGCTCCTCGGTGAATATAGCCCCAAGATCACCAAATCCATGAGGACTTAGAGCCAGAAGGCTGTATCTGCTGGGTAGCCACCAGCATGTGGGGTCATGGTGAGCGGAGACACCACAGGGCTGCTCTGTGGGAACACACAGCTCACTGGGTGGGCAAGGACAGGAGAGGAGACCCAAATATGACCTTCCCAGTCCTATATCCGCATTCAACCCCCCCCCTCCCCCACACGTGTTGTCTCCTACCTGCAGATCCTTGGGCTTCTTCTACTGTGCAGGGTTCCCAGCAGAGATAGGCAGAGGGTGTCTGGCAGCTGCCTGCCCTGGGAAGCAGCAGGGATCCTCCTCTGCCTCCTGAATCTTCTTCTCCTGCCACCTGCAAGACCACGACTCTTTAAGCGCTCCCCTCGTTGCACAGCTAGGTGTGATCAGAGAGATAGGACACAAATGCCCTTGGAAATAGCTACCCATTAACAAATGGCTGGAGCTAGCCCAAGAAGTCAGGGAAGAGCCTTCCTCTCCTCCAACAGGCTCTGGGGGGCATGAATGGTGACTCCTCCTCCTGTGCAGAGCATGTGCCTGCCTTAGAGCCTGGGATGGGAAGGCAGAGGTGGGACCCTAGGACAGGGAATAAGAAGGGGTCCCTAAGCCCTGCCCTGGGGAGGATGGAGGATGTGCTCTCAGCATTGCTTCCCTGTGGGGTGTGGGTGCCAGCATTTCCCCAAAAACCTTTTCTGGGCTGACTCGACTGTTCCCAGCACCCAGAGAGGGCTGTCACCTCCATGGCCACACCTTGAGTATTGTGTTCAGCTCTGGGCCCCTCAGTTCAGGAAAGACATTGAGGTGCTGGAGCGGGTCCAGAGAAGAGCAGCTAGGCTGGTGAAGGCACTTGAGCACAAGTCCTGTGAGGAGAGGCTGAGGGAGCCGGGGTTGTTTAGTCTGGAAGAGGCTCAGGGGTGACCTCATCACTCTCTACAACTACCTGAGAGGAGGTTGTAGCCAGGTGGGGGTCGGTCTCTTTTCCAAGGCAATCAGCAGTAGGACAAGAGGGCTCGGGCTTAAGCTCTGCCAGGTGAGGTTTAGGTTGGATACTAGAAAGAAAGAAGTTCTTTACAGAGAGAGTGATCAGGCATTGGAATGGTCTGCTCAGAGACGTGGTGGATTCACCATCCCTGGAGGTTTTTAAGATGAGGCTGGATGTGGCACTGAGTGCCATGATCTAGTAATCACAGTGGGTTTGGATCAAGGGTTGGACTTGATGATCTCGGAGGTCTCTTCCAACCCAGTTAATTCTATGATTCTATGATTCTATACAGGTGCTGGGAGCTGCAGGCTGTGAGCGAGGGGATGCATTTGTGGCAAGGCATCCACCTCCACAGCCCTCTCCATCCCTGGGGAAACACCTGCAAGGCCTCCATGTCCTAGGACTGGTGGTGGCAGGATCATCTGGGCCAGCAGCAGAGCCAGGCTCAGGTTAACGATTGCCCAGGTTTGCGTGAGAAGGCAGCTGGCTCTGTTCCCCTGGCTCCTCCGGGGCAAACAGGCAGTGAGGAGGAGGAGTGGCGGGGCAGAGGGGAAGAGGTGAGCTGGAGAGATAGGAGAGGCAAAGAGGCACCACAGGGCAAGGCTGAGGCAGTTCATCCTCCCCAAGCCAGTGTGACACTGGTTAGGAAGTGTTTGAGCCAGAAAGGCTGCTGCTTGAGCTGGGGCAAAAATTTGGGGAAATATGGGAAGTGCAGTTGGGATGAGCAGGAATGAGCCAGAGCTTTGAGGTTTGGCCCGAAGTTTCAGTCAATCTTCAAAAATCCCAGTGGGAATTTGGCCCGGGTAAAAGCTGAGCTAATATTTAATAAGGGCTTTCAACATCTGGTCTAATCGGACTCATTAATAGCAATGACGCCGTTCATTAATGTTTGGCAAGAACAGTTACAAAACCTTGGCTCCTAATATTCCTGCTGATAATTCCCAGGAATGTCGCAGCCCTCCCAGCCCCAGTTTCACTGGTGAGGAAGACCCCTGGGAATGCTTCTGGGGAGGAAGCCTGCAGCTTTGCAGAGGCAGTGCTTGTCTGGGACAAGCACTGTCTCCCAACCCTATGGATCTATCTGTATCCACTGCATGGGGTTGGGTGGGTAGAGGACTGAGTGACCCCCCCTCCTCCCCCTGGCAGCATTTCAGACCTTGGTGGCTTTGTGCTGATGGGGAACTCACCCCCGCCTCTCCTAATCCATCATATCCCAAAGCTCTGGAGAAGCTGGGGAGGGTCCTGGGGCCAAACCAGGAACCCCCAAGGCATTCCCTGGGGCCCACCTGCCACTCTTCCTCTCCTTCCCAGTCCTTCCTGGCTCCTCTGTGCTGGCTGCCAAGCCCTGAGAGGGCAGGGTGCATCCTGATGAGAACAGTGTTAAGAGCTGCTGCCTTGCGTGCCAGGCAGCCTCACCCCCCAAACACACATCCTTACCCCCAGCCACCATCCCTCGCTGAGCCCTCGGGTCCCCAGGACTGGCTGTGAAGCAGCAGGGGCAATGCTGCCAGTCCCCTGTCTCTAGTGGGTCTCTAGTGGGTCTTGTACTACACTTCCCTCTGTGGGTCGCCATCCCACGGGATTGGCTGTGCCAGCGTGTGCGTGCAAGGACAGACGTGAGCAGGAGGATGACGGTGCCTGCAGGCATGTGCACATGTGGCAGGGCATGTGTGTGCATGAGCACGTGCACATACAGGAGGGTTGTGGGTCTATAAGGAGCACAAAGGATGTTTGCATCCATGAGCATGCCCATGAACACGGATGCTCTGTGTGTGCAAGGTCTGTGTGCGGTCTGTCTGTGCAAAGACACACCTGCGCTGCTGCACAGATACATGGGGTGGACGCTCACGCCTGCGTGTGAGGGACGTGGGCACACCTGGGAGCCATGTGTGTGGGTGCCCCTGCATGCTGGATGAGGTGCTGCCGTGCTGGAGACTTTCCCACCTGGGGTTCATATGTGCCCCGAGCCATGGGAACAGTTGTGGTCATGCCCCACGCTGTGTTCCTGGGGGTCAGAGCGCTGTTCAGTGTCCCCTGGACCCCAAAAGGGGACATTGTAGTGGCACAACTGAAACCTCTCCTCTTTGCAGGGTGGGAAACCACCCTCTGTCCCATTCCTTGTGGCTGGAAAGGGCTGGGATGACTGTTTCTGTTCGAGGGAGACACAAGTGACAAGGGGGCTGCTGTCCCCTTGCAGATGACACAGCATCCTGTGGCAGAGGGGTGCACCCCTGTTGACCCTGATGATGTGTGCTGGGGACTCCCCACTCCCCCTAACACCCAGACAGCTGGGGGGTCAGCTGATTCTGAGCTGATCCTGAGTTCCTCTGGCGCCGCCTTGACCCCGGGCCAGGCTCCTGAACGTGGGGCCACCGCCCTGGTCCTTTAAAAGCCATTTCCCCCCCACCCACCCATAGCGTGACTGCGAGTGACCGGGGCAGCCCTCCCGGGTCTGGCCAGAGCCCCTTCGCACGCAATGTCCCTAATGCCACCTCTGAGACCCCCCGGCGGGGTGGGACCCCCCCTGGCATATCTCCCATCTCGTTGCAGCTGGGCTGGGAACAAGGATACGGGTGGAGGGGGGGAGATTTGGGGTGCGGGTTGGTCCCCCTTGTCCTCCCTGAAGGGCAGATCCTGGCCTGTCACCCCACGGGGACCTGGGATGGAGGCTGCAAACTCTGCCCGAGACTCCCTTTGGACTCCCGAGCCTTCCTCCCCGACGTGACCCATTCCCTCTGGCTGCACCCTCTGCCCCATCCCAGCCCCACCTCGCCCCCCGGGTCGTTCCGTCACCAGGGGACAGAGGTGACAAAGGGCACGGCGGCTTCTCACGCGAACCTGGGCAATCTTTAACCTGGCCGGGGCAGCCGGGGCTGTGACCCCCGAGGCGCCATCGCCGCCTCTTCCGTACGGGGACCCGATGGGGCTGTGAGGAGGTCCCGCAGCGTAGGGTGGGGGGAGACGCACGGGGCCGCTGACCCCCGCTTCTCCTTTAGCGGGAACACCGACGGCGGGATGAGCAAAGCCCCCGCCGAGGGGTGTGATCGCTTAAGCCCCGCGGCGGGAGGGTCCACGCTCATCCCCACGTGTTCTCAGAGCCCCGTGGCGTGGTGAACACACCAATCCCCCCCGCTCCTGCCCCGCACCTCGCGTTCCGGGGCGGTTTTCCCACGCTCCCGCTCGCCCCGCGGCTCCGGACACCGGAGATATCCCGGGGCTGCGGGCACCAACGCAGGGAGCGCGAGTGTGTGTGTACGGAACCCTGCGGGTTTGGAGGGGCTCGAGGGGAGCCGGGGCGCCCCCCGGCGGGGTCGTGGGGAGCAGCGGGGCGCGGGACCGGCGCCTTTAAGATCCTGCCGGTAGCGTGACTGGAGTGACCGGGGCGGTGCGGGTTTGCCCAAACATCCCGCCCGCTTCGCACGCGATGCCCGCCCCGGGTTGGAACCCACGGGCGGCACCGACACCCCTCCACCCCCCACCCCCATGCCACGGCCCATTGGGACCCTTTCTCCCTCCTTCTTCCTCCCCCCCGCCGACCTCCCAGCCTCCCCTCCAGGGATGCGCGGGGGAGCGGGGATCCCGCACTCCACGCGTGGGGGGAACCCCCGGGGAGGGAGGGGGGGGCGTAGGGGGGTCCAGGGAGTTCTTGGGGAGTTGGGGGTCACGTGACGGGAGGTGGCCGGACCAATCAGAGCATGGGGCGATGCATAAAAAGCAGGAGCCGGAGGGAGCGGGCACCTGCCGCGGGATCGGGCCCCTTCGCCGCCCCGCTCCGCACCGAGGTGAGTACCCGGAGAGCTCTGACTAACGATGGAGAGGTGTCGGGGGGCCGCTTCCAGCTCCCCCGACGCACCCCCAAGTGATGGACAGCCCCGACGTGGGCTGTCCTCACTTTCCACTCCCCTATACCTCCCGCATCATCCTTCCCCAGCCTATCCGTAGGTGGTTTCTTGAGGGTCCTGGAGGAAATTCTCCCCTCATGGGTCTTTCCGCTGCCGTGGACTGGGAGGGGGTCTCAGCTAGGCTGCACCCACTGCGGTGCAGGGGCCCCAACAGCCCCCCAGAATCATCACTCCACTGGTGTCCTGTGGGGTGCTATAGCACCCTGCCAAACCCTAGGGGAGGTGGGATTTTACACTCAACCTCTTCCCACACCTGCTTGGGGTTTTCTGAAGGATTTAGTGCTGTGAGAACCTCGGAATTGGACTCGATGATCTTTATGGGTCCCTTCCAACTTGAGGTATTCTATGATTCCATCATTTCGGACAGAGCTGAGAGCAGGGTGCACTCGTCCTGCCGGCCCCCTGCTACAGCCATGGTTATCTTTTGTGGCCATCAGACT